AACGAGACCTACAAACGCTATATTTTTAACGGACGAAGTCAGGGCCAAGACGAATCTATCGATGTATACGTTACTGCGCTAAGATTTCTAGCTAAAACATGTGGATTCTGTGATTGTCTCGTCGACGGCCCGTTAAGGGATCGCATTGTTCTCGGGATAAACAACCACGCTCTTCGAAAACGCTTGCTGCAAGAGAGAAATTTGGATCTTAAAAAGTGCATCGATTTGTGTAGAGGTAGTGAAGCTGCCTCATCCCAAATTAAAAATATTTCAGGAGCATCTAGCACAACAGATGACGTACATCGACTAAAAGTACAGCCAACAAAACCTCCTTTGAAGCTAAAATCTGATCGAAACGCGAAGCATCACAAGCTCCAGAAGCGGAAGATTTGCAAATTCTGCGCTGGGAATCACCCTCTGAAAAAGGAACTATGTCCTGCATCGCAAAAGCGATGTCAGAGGTGCAATGGCAGAAATAATTTCGCCACGGTTTGCAAAAAGGGCCAAGCGCGTGGTGTGCATGGGCTTTCTGAGCAACCTGAGCTTGACAGCGATGAATCTAGTGATTACGAATTCCTCGCCGTTATCGCAGTGGAACCATCTATCCATGCAATTGAACAATAAAAAATATCCGGCTATGCAAGAGAAATATACACAGAGATGATGATCAATGTTAAGAAAATTAAATTTCAGATCGACTGCGGAGCTTCATTAAGCATCATCACTAAATGTCACACCACAAGAAGTCACGTAACACCATCAAACAAAACTCTGAAGATGTGGCATGGAACAGAAATGAAACCCCTCGGAACTACCCGCTTGAAAGTCACGAAGTATTCAATTGAATTTGTTGCTGTTCCCGATGACTTAACACCGCTGCTAGGTGCACGTACAGCACAACAAATGGAGCTGATAACTGTGCGTGAAGGGGTGCGTCGCTCTATCATACCATGGATCTGCAGTTTCCTAACAGATCGGTGACAATGTGTCAAACTAGTGCAGACCGTCTCCAATTGGCTTGCTTGCTTGCTTGCCTGCTTGCTTGCTTGCTTACTTACTTACTTACTTACTTACTTACTTACTTACTTACTTACATGGGAACAAGTAGCAGTGGACCTGTTTGAGCTAAACAAGAAAGAGTACATGATCACAGTAGATTATTACAGCAATTTCTGGGACATTGACCGCCTCACAAGTACCACCTAATCAGCTGTAGTTTTGAAGCTGAAGAACCATTTTGCTCGCTATGGTTGCCCTAATCGCTTGATCAGCGACAATGGTCCTCAGTTCGTGTCATCAGAGTTTCGTAAATTCGCAAACGATTGGGACTTTGAACACAGAACTAGCTCTCCTGGGAACAGGCCAACGGTAAAGTGGAATCAGCAGTGAAAACTGCAAAGAACCTCCTACGTAAGGCCTTGAGTGCCGCGGAACAGACCCATACATCACAATTCTTGATTACCGCAATACTTCCACACAAGGAATGGAATCAAGTCCTGCTCAACGCCTAATGAATAGGAGAACAAGAACACTACTTCCCAAAACGAAGACTCTTCTCCAACCCAAAGCCCCAAAGAGTGAGCGAGATATCCAACAACTGAATAAGCGACAATTTCAACAGTCTAGATACTAACATATAGATTTAGCAAGGGCTAAAAGCGAAGCTCCCATTCATAAATTTATAATTTAAATCAAACAATAAACTTGTAATCCACAAATCAGTTAACTTAAGGGCACATATGTGACTTTTTAGGGAAAGCTAAGGCTAAGTGACTTTTATACAGTGAAAAAAAATATTACATCGAATTGACAGCCGTATATATACACCCCAAAAAAGCAATCATCTTCGATCACATTTAAGGGCCATAATGGCTCTTGATCACAGTAGATTAGGCCTAGAAAACGAATTCTTGGAAAACAAATCAGGCCGAATTTTTTGCGTTCGACAAGTTTACTTACCAAAATCTTGCCAACAACTCAGGGTGCGTGTAAACCAACATTTCATACTCTTTATAATAATACTAATAACAATAATAATAATAATAATAATAATAATAATTAAAAATTTATAACGCGCCTTTTCCATGCAAATATGATCAAAAGCGCGTGACAACACGTAAATGTTAAAAGAAAATAAAAACTAAAATGAGCAAAATAATTAAGGCTAAGAATAAACAACGCTAAAAATTAAATAAAGATAAAAAACGCTAAATATATTACATAGTAGGTAAAAAATTTACATATCAAAAGCTAGTCTAAAAAGATGCGTTTTTAGTAAAGATTTAAAACGTTCAAAATTGTCCTCAAGGCGGATGTGAAGGGGCAGATTGTTCCATAAATTAGGGGCAGCAGATGAAAAAGCACGATCCCCTAAAGTCTTTTTCAGTTTTAAACTAGGATACTTTAAGATAAGACCGCTAGCTGAACGGAGATTATAGCGCGGCTGTTCTTTAATAGCAATCAAATCGATCAAGTAACCAGGTGCATGACCTTAGATAGCTTTAAAAGTAAAAAGAAGTATTATTATTACTACTTGTGGTGAGCTTATGCGTATTGAAACACAAAGTTTTGCACTTTCAACTATTGTTTTCACTTCCTAGGATTAAATTAATCCTTAAATGATATCAAGCACACAATTTTGATGCTTCAAAAGCAACTCATGTCTACCAAATATTTTTTGATTCACACGCACTTTGCCGTAGGGGGGAAAGGGCTTAAAAATGCATATTTTTACACTAGTCTGCTCGTGCCTGGTCATGATCCTCCTCAAGACATTACGATATTTATGGATGTTTCCTTGAATCCTGGCCCCAACTTAACTGGTGGTTGGCTTCTGCACGATCGGCTTTCCACTTCACAAGTTGTTGGCCGCCATTCGCATACTAATTCGCGTTCGTTGACTATGAAATACTCTAGGAAATCTCTCCGAAGCTTACGATCGAGTGCTTGTACTCCTTGTCCTCAAGTTCTGGGCGAACTAAAATCACATGGTGTTCTGAGGTATAGAGGAGGAAAAGGTGGAAAGAAGACCCGAGGAAATTATTTACCGTATTTTCTCGATTAAACGCCCCCGGCGTTTATTTAAAACTTGGCCTCAGGGACCCAGCGTTTATTTGAAGCCGGCGTTTAATCGGGGTCCGGCGTTTATTAATGAAGTAAAATTTTCATCATTTTTAGGTTGATGTATTATTTCACATTCTTTGAGATCCGTGCGCAGTTTGTCAAGGCGGGACGATTTTTCCTTTTCGACCCTGTAATCTCGGATCACTGTGCGGTTTATTGTAACCTGCGTCTACAAAAAACCGCACTTCACGAAGAAAAAGGTGTACTATTCGAAACTGCGTTCTTTGGATATTGAATCCTTTTGTGAAGATATCTTGACTTCTCCTTTGCTACAGGATGAAGCTGTTGAACTCAACGCTCTTGTGGATCAATATGACAATGTATTGAGATACCTCTTGGATCTCCATGCCCCTTTAAAACGGCGAACAGTAACATTACGACCTAGTGCTCCATGGTATAAACCGGAAGTAGTTGTACAGAAAAACATCCGAAGGCGGTTAGAGAGGAAGTGGCGTTCGACTAGGTTACTATGTGATCGTGAGCAATACGTTCATCAGTGCTACGTTGTCAACAATTTGATTGAGTCACTAAAGTCGACATATTACACTGACATCATTAATGAACGTTCATCAGATCGAAGGATATTGTTCAAGACTGTTGGAAAGTTAAAATTAACCAACAAGCGTTATCCTCCTTCTTCTGATGATACTGCCCTGGCAAATTCATTCGCCGATTTCTTTACCAGCAAGATTGATAAAATACATCATGGGCCTGTTGAAAGGAAAATACGCGTCGGATCTTCCCCTCCTGACATCAAAGTTTGTGGTGCACAGTTTTGTAACTTTGCTGAGGTTACCCTGGAGGAAATAAAAAAGTCTCCAAGGAAACCGCTAACTAAATCTTGTGAACTTGATCCTCTACCTGCGGTAGTTTTGAAAGGCTGTCTTACTTCCTACTATTATGAGGATCATCAATCTGTCCTTATCGACTGCTGTTGTGCCCGATGCTCTGAAGGTTGATATGCTATCGCCCACATTGAAAAAAATTGATGCTGACTTTGAACAGTTCCAAAACTTTCGTCCTATCTCGAACTTAAAAGTAGTATCGAAGCTTGTTGAAAAGGCAGTTGCCATACAACTCACACATTACGTCATGGCGCACCACTTAGATGAGACGTTTCAGTCTGCTTATAAGAACTTTCACTCCACCAAGACAGCTTTAGTAAGGGTTCAGAATGACATCCTGTGTGCTATTGACAACAATGAGTTTGTTATACTTCTTTTCTTGGATTTGTCAGTTGCCTTCGACACGGTTGATCACTCGATACTGTTATCAAGGTTGCGTAACCGCTTCGGAGTAATCGGTACAGCAGCTGCATGGTTTGAGTCATAACTGACGTCGCGCACGCAGTTTGTACGGGTCAATGACCATTGGTCAACACAGCGCTTTCTAGAACGCTGTGTACCCCGGGGATCTGTTCTGGGCCCACTTCTATACATCACCCATTGCTGATATCATAAAGTTCCACAAGTTACAGTATCATTTATACGCTCATGATACCCAGCTGTATATATCGTTTAGAACTGACTGTAGCTATGATCTCTCTTTGGCTAAGCGTCGTGTCGAGTGCTGTGTAAACGACATTGATTGTTGGATGGTAAACAATGGTTTTAAACTCAACCAGGAAAAACTGAACTTGTTCCCATCAGCTCATAATTTCGTTGCAGGCCCTCTCTAGAGTTTATCCAAGTGGTTGATGAGAAGATCCAACCCAAACCTTCCGCCCGAAATCTGGGGTTGATTATAGATCAGTGTATTGATTTAACAGACCATGTTAACAAAATCTGCGTTTCCTGTCAGTATCATTTAAGGAACATAGCTAAGATCAGGAAGTACTTAAGTGAAGATACCTCTCAAATTGTAGTACGCGCTTTTATTAACTCTAAACTCGATAACTGTAACTCTTTGTTATATGGTCTTCCTAAACACCTGTTAAATAGGTTAAGACTGATACAAAACACTGCTGCACGCATTGTTACATTATCTAAGCGGTTTGACCATACCACTCCTATCCTGTTCAAACTTCATTGGTTGCCGCTGGGTTATCGCATACATTTTAAAATACAACAACAACAATCAAGCTTTATTTACCGTATCACTTCATTAAAAATGCTCTTCCAGTGAGCCGTTTACATAACAAAATTCTCAGAGAAACTACATTAATGCTAAAATATATCTATATATTAAGAAAATCTATCCTATAATTAATTACACAAAAATCGATCAACCTTAAAGGTACTTTATATAAGTAAAATAAATTTTATCTCAACTCCCTCAAGGCAATCCCTGGTTCAAGACGAAAACAAGGCAGACTTGAAAGAGTTGAGATTTATCTCGTCTTTAAGCACATTTTCTAGGTCATTCCACATGACTGCCCCCCTATAGCTAAAAGCCCGGTTAGCAGCTTCAGTACGAGGCCTTGGTACAAAAATGTTGTTCGAGGCACCTCGCACGTTGTAGGAATGAACCCCAGAGGTTGGTTTAAACATGTTCTTTAAACTCTCGGGGCAAAGGTTATTTAGAGATTTAAAAACACTTATTGCGAGCTGTTTAGAGCGTCTTTGCTCAAGTGTATCCCATCTCAAGTCTTGGAGGATATCGCAGATCTTGTATTATAATCACTAAATGTTATAATTCTCCCAGCCCTATTTTGCAATCTCTGGAGTCTGTCACACAGGACTTTTCCCATATATCCCCAGACTTCGGAGCAATAATCAAAATAAGGAGCGACTAAAGCGGCATCATACATTTTCAGTAGGGTTTGGCGAGGCACCAGGGAACGAATACGTTTTAAGGCCCCTATACCTGCAGATACCTTTTTACAGATGGTATCTACATGGGATTGCCACCCCAATGCCTCGTCAACCTCTATTCCCAGATATCTATAATTAGTCACCCGAGTCAATTGTTGACTATTAACAGTAACGTTTAAGTCACCATTTAAATGCCTTAATCGGTAGTGGCTTCCAATTATCATATACTTTGTCTTTTTGACATTTAATGAGCTTATTGGATTTCAGCCACTTTTGAACCTCATCCAAGTCTTTGTTTAACTTTTCTTCAAGAGTTGTGGGGTCATAAGCCGAAAGGGTAAGCGAGGTGTCACCAGCATACATGAGTACAGATGATGATAGCTTGCATTCTTGTAGGTCATTTATATAAATGAGAAACAACAAGGGTCCAAGTACAGAACATTGTGGGGCCCCACAACTCACAGGAGGATAGTCTGATAGAGTGTATTTACATAAGTACTCTGAAAGCGATTGCATAGGTATGATTTGAACCAATGAACCGCATGCAGATGGAGACCATAAAGCTGCAGTTTTTTTAACAATATGCTGTGGTCAACCGTATTAAAGGCTTTCTTAAGATCCAGAAAGAGTACACTGTTAATTAGGCCATCATCAATATTTAAGTACCAGTTGTTAGAAGCTTCAAGCAAGGCAGCCAAAGTAGAATGGATCGGTCTGAAACCATGCTGAGAAACTGTCAGCAAATTAATGGTGAGTTAGGTACTCATAAAGTTGTTTGAAAATAACCTTTTCGATTATTTTACTGACAACTCGTAGAATAGATAGATATAGGTCTATAGTTATGAGGATCAGACTTAATATCCTCCTTATATAAAGGTAATACTTTGGAAATTTTCCACTCGTCTGGAAAATACCCACACCTAATGGATAGGTTATTTATATGGGTGAGAGAAGACACGATTTCAGGACAAGCTTTCTTTAAAAGCCTTGCAGAAATACCATCTAGGCCCGTAGCCTTGTCGACTCGAAGGGAACTCACTAAACGGTGAACAACACCGCAGTGAGCCTCGTTCAGGGTAAAACTGGAATCTCATGGCGTAATGTAGTCCTCGAAAAAAACACTAGTTTGGGGAATATTATCGGCTAACCTGGGCCCAATGTGAGTAAAGTGATAATTAAGAGCATTAGAGATTTCTAATGGGGTAGTACTTGAATTATCTCCAACATTTATTCTATTTATTTCAGTTGTTGGTAAAGTAGTTATAGTAGTTAGTTTTTGCTTTCCTGATATTAGCATTTACTTCGTTTCGAGCAATCTTATACTCGGTCCAATGAGAATCTGAATTATTGATAATTGCAGCCCTTTTCAGTTTGTCCCTCTCAAACATCAACCTTTTTATCTCTGGTGTTAGCCAGGGAGCATAATTATTTCTTACTTTTCTTTTACGTTTCTGGTGCATGGAAGTCACATATTTCTAAAAACAGAGGTGACCAAATTTCCCAGGCACGATTTGGATTATCTTCCAGATGAACTAGATGCCAAGGTGCTAGGTTAAAGTCAGCGTGGAATGAATTAGCATCAAAATTCCTAAATTGTCGCGACTCCACAATCTTTGGTTTCCCTTTGGGAAAACAAAATTTTCTAACTCCATAGATAAGAGAATGGTCAGTTATTCCGATGTGACAAACACCAGAATGTGTAAAAAATTCCTTTTTATTTGTTATTAATAAATCAATAATAGTCGCGGATTTTTCAGTGATTCGGGTATGTTCATTTATCAGCTGGTGGTATTGGTAAAGGTTGCAAATTTCCAGAAGACTCTTTGTATGTGATTCTAGTGGGTAGGCAGCCACATTGCAATTTAAATCCCCCCAAATATTTACCTCTAGCCCCACCGATTCGATTCGCTGAACGAGAAGTTCAAAATCCTTCATTGCGTCTACATTAGAACGTGGTTGTCTATACCACGTACTCACAATAAAAGATTTAGCCTTGGGTTTTATTACCTTACTGCCAATCCACTCGAGGGTTTCGCACTCGAGATCAAATAAACGTTCATAATTGATAGTATTCCGGATATAAAGGGCGACACCCCCTCTGTCTCTGTTTCTATCATTTCTCTCCAGGAAATAGCCTGGTACTGTAACTTCGCCACTAGCTTAGACTGGAGCAGTCTCTCTTTTTCTTCCGGTTTAGTAAGGGGAGTGCACGCGCGCGCGCGCGGCGAAGCCGCGAGACGCGCGAAACGAGTGCGTCAGCCTTTTTCGTGCCTCTCCCATCTCGCGCCATCAGTCTCGCGCGTGGCCATTTGCGTGTCTCGCGTTTTGCTCGACGGACTACAGAAGAGAGAGACTGCTCATAGTCTACTACTAGATATAGTATCATCGAGACGAGTTTCATTGACCGCAAGAATATATATCAATACATTTCGAATTCATATAAATTCGCAATCCTCGGTATGGCCGAGGATACTAGTAATGTTAAGGGAAGCTAACTTAAAACCCCTATTTTTGGATACATGATTCACTTAACAGATCAGCATTCAATGGAGACGAGCCGTATGTGAGATGACCCTCTAAATCGAACTTGCCGACGAGGTCCAAATTATCTTGTTCAGAGTTTGTGCAACCAAAGAGGGTTCCGCTTTTGCTTGTGTTTTCCTGCTTTGATCTTTGCTTTCAATGCCTGCATTATAAAATTCGAGGCTAGAATTTTCACGCCATCACCGTTCAAGTGGATACCTTTGTTCTTTAGGTGTTCAACTTTGAAGGGGGGCATTATCAATGAACAACCAGCCCCTGGCCGTGGAGACGCAGACAGCTTTCATCGTGTGATTTATATGCATAATCTTCTCATTAGCATTTTCATCTCTCTGGCTTATTAACCCCGAAACCGACACCTTGATCGAAGGTCTAATTTTAATCGCTTCCTCTGCCATTTCAGTTAGACCCTTCTTACAAATGTCTAAATGGCTTGGCATCAAGTTACATATCCGAACTTTTACGCTACACTAATGGTCCACAATTACTTCGTTCTAGTTCCCAGAAATTTCTAGCCGTGCCTAGGACTAGGTTAAGGACGTACGGTGATAGGGCTTTTTCCGCAGTTGCTCCTAGGTTATGGAACCATTAATTGCCCCATGAACTCAGGGGTGTTAGATCTGTCGACCAGTTCAGGACGCAGTTGAAGACATACTTATTTAAATTAGCCTATGATGTTTGATTTTAGTAGCTTTATTTAATTTTTATTTTATATTATAATAGTTTTTAACTCTAGTTTCTTACCATATTATTGTACAGCGCTTTGAGCAATTAGTGGATATAGCGTTATATAAGTGTCTATTATTATTATTATTATTATTATTATGTCGCAGTATGAAACTTTGGAATGCTGTCCACATTATGAGTAGTATAGGGCGCATAGCGTAACCTACACCTCTTGAGAAGCTATACTTAGAAGTTAAAAAAGGTCGATACGAAACCTAAAACAATCCTAAAATACATAGTGATATGAATCTTTCTACTTAAAAAGCCAATTTAGAATATTATTAAATTCTGATACTCTGTAAAACCTTCGCTATCTCTACTAAAAACATATTTATAATAATATCACACTCTAATGTTCTAAAAAATCTAAGTAAAAACGTCAGCAAGCTTGTGTTTCTAGATTTCTAGAGAAAAAACAAAAACCTAAAAACTGAAGTCCATAGCGCCCTAACTAAGTATTTATCTTAAATGGTCTGGCAATGTTTAAAGTGTTTGAGATGACCGACTTCTGCATCCACTCAAGTACGCTCCGTGCTCTCGCTCCAAGTAGCTTCCTCACCGACTTCTCTAGGTGTTTAGAGTAACCCCCCCCAGTACGTCAATTATTACGTTGTACTGTTCAACCCCGTAACCATTGTATCTCTGCTTCAGCTCCCACATCATGGGCCCATACTTGAATGTCTTTTCCTCATCTTTCTTAGCTCTACTCTCAATCCATGGGCAGCTCATTTTAATTGTGCAGACTTCTTTCCTCTCGTGGCTGACAAGTCGCGCGTCGATCCGATTTGCTCTAACTTCATTGTGCTCTGCATAGATGGGAATATCCCAAAACGCCTCACTCGTGCCACGCTACAGGGTTCAGGCACAATGTAAACAGTCTAGGACACAAAGCGTCCCCCTGGGGTACACCCTTCATGAACCTTATTTTTCTAGAAGTCTCTCGCCCTTGCCTTGTTGTAGCTACTACTTTAGTATTCCAGCTCGCACTTATTATTATTATTATTATTATTATTTATGATGATGTCAGAACTTTTTAAGAACTCTCACAAATAAGCTTTCGACTAAGAACGATGAACCCTACGCCAGCGTTATTTCCTGGCTTCGAATACAGCTTTCGTTTGCTATATTAAGAACTGTACACAGATGCGTCAGAGGTTCTAGATATCCATTTAAATCACGTGAGGTCTCAGAAGACTTCACTCTCGCTGTAGCTGGTCTACATCTGTATTCATAATTTTAGGCCTAGATTTTTGATGTTTTTTTTATATATATAATTGAAATGTTTTTATTCGAATAAATTTTTCGTAGTTAAATTGACTCTTTCTAAGCTCAATTGAGTGCTTTTTAAATCGACTGGAATTGTAAATAATATTGTAAATGAATATTTTTTTTCCTTTCTTTTTTCAAGCGAATTAATTGTAAATAGGATTTTAATAGTTAGCATTGTTGTCATATATTTAGTTTTTATTTTTCAAACAACACGATATAATTTAAAATTGTAAAATATTACTTATTGTTCTGATACTTAAATAAAGTTGTTATTATTATTATTATTATTATTATTATTATTATTATTATTATTATTATTTTCATTCTACCATTGTACAAAATCCCCACATCTTCTAAACAAAACGTCTTTTCAGGCCAACAAAGAGAATGTCCAAAAACATAGAAACATAAAAATATGTTGTGATTTAAACGATTTATCAGCACAGCCGATCGACGAAATATGCCTATTTTCTCAGTATGACTGTTTCCAATACACGATGAAACGTCTTAATGCAAAGCTGAAAATAACACAATAATTCATTAAACGTATTAAGTATTTTAAACTTTCTGTGACCTTTGTCACAATAGAACATCATTAAGGAAAGGAAGCCCTTTAAGCCGAACGCTTTAATAGTACGCGGCGAAAACATTTTTCCTAGCATGACTAAAATTGAAAGGCAAAAAATTATCTTATTAATAGAGTATTCTATTACATTTATTGTTGTTTTTGTTGACAAGTTAAACAATAAAGAATCATGCATGCGTAAGTGCCCAGTGCATCAACAATAGTAGCTTTTTAGTTTTCCAGGAACAGGCTCCTGTCCATTCAGGTTGGCATTTATAAAACAATTGGTTGTCGTTATGAGCTTTCTCTTTGTTTTGTTTTATGTTTGTCGTTTAAGTTTGCATTTCTTATTATTTTTAATATATTTCATATTTCTGGTAGCCCATAGTATTAAACCGACGAGTACCTGTTTTCAGCTCTTATCAACCTCCCCGGCTCAGGGTGGGGCTGGGGATAGGGGTGGAGTGTGCTTGCAGGCAGGAGGCCCACTAGACTGTTCACAGTTCTCAATTTTCCAGTGCAATAGTCGGGATCAAGTACATTCTCTAACATGTGGCCATCTTGGATTCTAATGTACCGGGTTTAGCCTGGGGATGACTATGAAATCTAGAAGGAAGGCTGCACATCTGGACGATTTTACGGAAAGATAAGGGACAATAAACAGCCCAGTGGCCCGTAAGAAAACACCCCCCTTGCTATTATTCTAGAACAAATACCGTATCTTTGAAATTAGGTTACCCTGCATTTACAACTGGCATGGTGATTTACCTCGTTTGGCGCTATCGATTTCGACAGTCACTCTATTCTTTCCGTTTCTGGTTTGACTAATATCTTGTACACTAGCTAATGATCACTAGTAGTTTTAGCCAGGGGGGAGGAGTTTAAGAGCGAAAAGAAACTTTGCACGTGCAAATTCTGTGCATTTCTTTGCCATTGTTTTGCACGACTTCAACGTACGTGAAACTTCCTAGTTGCACGTTTTATGGAGCAAAAGTGGTATATGTTCCTAGTACGTGCCAGTTTTTTTTTTCGCTGCCGCTCATTTTAACCTTGTTGGCCGCTAGCATTTGTCATTTTCTCATCGCAGCATTGAATTTTTCATGTTTTTTCTTCCGCAATGAACTTCGTCTCCTTTCTTTTCTTTCTTTTTTTTGTTGTTGTTGTTTTTTGTTTTGTTTTGTCTTTCGCTCTAGTGGTCGCAGGGGGGAACTGCCGTACGGACGGTCATTTCCTCGCATCTACAGGTTACCTTTTTTTCTTTCGCACGCGCGAGAGCTTCGCTAATACTCATTCTCTAATACGAAAAGTGGTTTCTTATTGATAGCGCCATATTTTCAAATTCTTGTACCGCTTTTGCCGAAATGCACATATTAAGCTGGCGATTTTCCTGAAGGGCATTGAATTCACAGTGAGCCAGCGGAAGAAAAATGAGTAATAATAGGCAGGGTACAAACTGACCGAGATAGAGTAGTTTTCCTTCCTTCTCGCGTCTTTCCCAACATTTTTTTCACTACGTCAAGGGCACTCGACAACCATTTCAGTTATCTTTTAAATGATTTTGTTAGAAAATATTGCGACAAAAATCGTTAATTTGTACTTTTGAGCCACTCGGCTTTGGTAAACATTTCTTTGCGATGTGCGTTGCGAGCTTTCTGTCCCACAAAGGGCACCTCTCCAGTCAAAAATGGTATACAAAAGGGTAATGGGTTGGACGATCAGGGCGGAGTCTGTCAGTATAACACTTTGTTGTATACCCCACCCGCTCTGATAGGGCGGAAAGCTAAGTTCGCTAATTAATCTACTGATTAATCTAATTAAGTTTAAAGGGAGTCGT